AGTTTAATTTAAATTGACTCTAACTGGTCTATCCTAATAATGATTTGCACTGCTAATTAGCAAGACCACATCTCTAAGTTGTGCTGAGTATGATAAGGGGAGATTAGCCTTTCAAAGGAATGTATATATCTTTTTAATAAACAAACATTATTTAATAAAATAACATTGTTATGTTATGCTTTTCCAGTGAGTGGGTAAGGGTTGTTGTATTGAGTTAGAGTTTGTGCTATTACAAATGGGTAGATGGAGTGGGAAGTAAGGTATAGCACAGTGGGATTGGAAAGCATAGGAGAATGAGGAAGCTGACTGGGTCAGTACTTACTTATGGGGTTAGGAAGTTGGGTCCTGTTTTGTGCCGCTCTGGTTCTGTCGAGCAGCCTCTTATGAGAGATCAAGATACCGTTTGGGGTAAGGGAAGGAAAATTGCCTGGTATTTCCCCAGTTCTAGACAGATGTTGTATCTATGCATCATTCTTATCAAAATGCTTTACCCATGTTTGTAGAATGTCCACACATCTGTTTTCCAATTGAGTCAAAAATGCTGTGGATTGTAAGATTTTTTTTAAAAAATTCTAATATTACTTGCTCCTGTCCTTTCTATCAAGTTACAAACAAGAAATATGATGATCAGGTATACTGCTCTACTTTACATTCCAAACTTATTTTGAAAATAATATTTATCATGAAGCAAATTATAAAGCAATAACACAATCTAACTATCCACATAAAAATTAATTCTAATATGACAAAATATGAAAATGAATTATTCCAACCAAATAAGACTGCATTTGCAGTGGACGCTGATATTGTGCAAAATACTAATGAACTTCCCTGACTGAATTTCTCATAATACCCTTTTTAATTCTAATTACATTTTTTTCTGCTCACTTCACTCTAGTTAGTGAACCAGCGGATTTCAGTAACTGGCGAGCAGGCTCATTCACGAACGGAAACAAATTAGTTCCCGTTGTGATTATTCCATGGAGGCTGAAAAACATTTGTCAAAGTGGCCAACCAATTTCTGTCAAGAAGTGCAGTTGAGCTTGTTAGGTCATTGTTGAAAGCTTTTCAGGATGAAGACCAACACGTCTGCACAGGTGGGAAGAGAAGCCTAACTTTGGGTTATTTACTCCAGTTCTGACCTTGTATTAAAAGCCTCAGCAAATGAGAACGTATTGTAAACAGAAGTTGTCAAATATAAGTAATTATTATTGTGCGGTATCTACCTATTCCCCTTGGGTCACCTTTGGATTTTGGTGCAGAAAGGCATAGCTATGTCATCATTTGCTTCCTGCACATTTTCAAAGGTAGCAGTCTGCCTGGATGCACCTCAGGAAATGTGCATTTTAAAAAAGCTCACACACTTCTAAAAATAAAACGAAAATGACGTACAGATACCCTTGGCTGTTTTGATATGAGGCAGGATAGTTAAGTGTGAAAAAAAAGTCTGAGTTTCCATATTCACCTGGTTCATTGCATGCTGGCAATGTTGGTATCTGTTGCCTTGAGGATGTTAATTCTCCAAATGTCCATTTATCTCAATGAAATGAATGCTGTCTGATTACCCAGTAAGCTCTGCAGCCCATTTGTTTACTATTCAAGTCATTGTGCAAAAAACATAAGATATTTATGTTTATTACTGTTACAACAGAATAGACTATAAGTGATTTCAATATGATTGCTTCTCTAAAAGATCTCTTCAAGGGAACAGTGTTTATCGGATGGCAAGGATATAAGACTAATGTACTTTGTGGTAGGGAGTATCTCAGCTGCAAAATCAGTGGATTAGTAGGTTTACTATGCTTTAGTTTACTGTCACTTTTCTTGTCAAGTGAAGTGACTATTAATTATTGAAAGGCTTTTTCTTTTCAAGAGGGTTCTGGATTCCAGGCTTGCAGGTATAGACATTCCTAGCTTCTCTCATCTAACCAAATGATTAAATTCTGTTAATTTTCACTCAGTCTCAATGCAATGGGGGCAGCAGATGTCTGGATTATGCTCCTGAGCTTGTCTACATTGTGCCTCTAATGATTTTTGCTGAGCAGCACAAACGTGTAGAATGGGCATTTTATGCAGGAACAGAGTTTTGCTCAATGTATTTGTGGACAGGTAGAAGTCTGGGAGTCCTATCAACCTGTGGAATGTGTACCTTTAATTGCCCGCTGGCCATGCTGCTTTCACAGATAAAACAAAAGTCACTTTGCACTGCAAATGATTTTCCAAACGGCACTCTTGAGAAACATTTTCTGATGATAAACTCAGCGCAAGAGAGGAGACCTCAGCAAATGTTTCTCATTGTATAAAACAACATGCTGCAAAGTGACAATGGAATATTTCCTAGCAACAGGGGTTATTCTTCCCTCATCTGATTTTTCAAATCATAATGGTGTGTGGTAATTAATATATTTTAAATGTTTTCATGGTGTAAACCTATTTTTCAGTTTGCACAATTATCCTTCTCTTGGGCACTATGGAGGTATAATTAAGCAGATGCCTCACCGTCCAAGACCGGCTAATATATGATGGAACACATATGGGCTTGTTATTACTTGTCCCTGAGTAATGTACATTGGGTCCACATTATTCCACATGTAATCCTACTACAAAGAACCTAATCAAAACCACAAAATTGGTTTGATAGGGAATTAAAAAGGCAACAAATTGAGCTGTTGTGGAATTGTTCTATGTCCCTGCATTTGGCATTGTTTCAGTGGCTTCAGGGATGGATAGAATTTAACTGGGACAAGGAACTACTGCTACAGAATCTGTCCCAGGGATTGGTGTACTATTCTGAGTTTTAACCTCAGTGTTAATATTTCACATTATGAAAATATAGGTGAACAAATGGGGTGTAATTCAATAATGTTTTTTAAACAGAAGTTTCTGCTTTAAAGCTTCTTTGTAAGGTCACCCTCTTTTAAAGGGACACTAAGAAAGTGGATGGCAAATTTTATTTTCATTCGATTTCAAACGTACATTCCAGTCACATAAAATACGTTGAGATCCAACACTGCATCACTTACTCGATATCTAAATCTGTAAGCATGTAACTTAACTTTTTATAGCATTTGCACACAGTAGAGAGCGAATCCCTCTCCAAAAATGACACACTTCTATTTAACAAGAAGTGCTGTGACAAATGGGTGCCCTTGAAAATGCTTTGACAATTGTGCCATTGAAGATACTGCGGTGAATTAAAAGAAAACACTGTCTTAGATGGTTTGATTGCTGTTAGTAACAGCTTCTTTACTGATATATAATTACTTTCTCAATAGCTTCCAAAATATTGACCATTTTAATAAATATTTTAAGTCTTGAACAAATAAAAAACTTAGAGCATAACGTGGCCCAGTGTTGAGGACTTTGAGTTCATAAACTAAACTTTTTGGTCAGCCAACAAATGTTTCTTTTTTTTTCTTTATTGCTAGCTGAGCCATTATAGACACTGAACCAAATTCAAAGATTATTATTTGCTTTGAGTTAATAATAATAATAATCCTTGCATATGATATAGCGCCTTATCAATGCAAGTTGGTGTTGAATTGCTACTTCAGTTACGCACTAGAGAATGGCTATCACCCATGGAATAGTACTCAAGCTGAAGAGGAGAGAAAAACAAATAAGCGGGACATTTCTCAGTGCAGTGTAAGAGACCATGTGACTTTGCCAATTCCATTGCAATGACAGATCCCATGCTCTATGTACGAACACCGAGTCGTAAGAGCTATTCAGTCTCAACAGCTTTTCTCTTTCACCTCTATTACATCTCCAGACCTCGACCAATAGATTTTGTAATTTAATCACATGATGATTTATAGGGCAACCATGTATGATTATTCACATCTGTTGCTGATGGACCTGTGGGAGTAATATTGGCAGGTCAGGAAAAAAGCTGCAAGTTTGGTGCTACATAGCATATGTGAGGCAAGTTTCTTTATTCTGGCTAAAGGACCCTGGAAGATTTCATGAAGATTTGCTGACAGCTGATACAGTTCTATCTTTAAATGCTTACATTTTCATAAATGTTTTGAAAACAAAAATGCCAAGGAGCAAACTAAGTGTTGGAGGAATAGCGTTAACATCACATGTTAACTAATGTGAATTTTCATTTCCCTTTAAGTGTGTCTAACAGTTATTCATATGACAGTTCCAGCTAGCTTTAATTTGCATGGAACCTATTGCGTGTATTAAATAAGTGGTTAGTAGTTTTCATCAAGCAAATGTTTAAATCTGTGAGATACAACTATATGAGTATTTCTATTGACGATTTGAAAGAATTTTCTTTACTTTCATTTTTGTGCTCACTGTTGCTTATTTTCTGGTCCAGACCCAGACTTATGTTATTCATGTCATCAGAATTTGTATTCAGCCAATGTACAACAACAACAGTTTGCATTTGTATTGTGCCCTTCACACCGAATGGTGTCTCAGAGCGTGTAACGTAGAATTGAATGTCACAATCTATTAATATGGAATTTGACAATCCTCCATGAAGATAATATATCTTTTAGTTAGCATTGTAGGATAAGGTTATACAGCATGTCATTATAAATTCCATGCTCCAAATACTGTTCTAGGGTCTATTGAAATGCAGCTTAATGTGCTTAAGTACATTGAATAAAAATGCCAAAATGCTACCTCTTACACACTGTTGTCTGTGGATGTAGCTATAAACTAAAAGGAATCTGGTAACAGAAACTCCTTGAAGAATAATGATCTTTTTAGGGACTATTTTAGGGCAGACACCAGGAGGTATTTCTTTGCACAGAAGGTAATGCACACACAGCTGGAACTTGATGCTAGGAAGAGTGGTTGAGTCTAGGAAATTGGACTCATTAAAAAACAGTTTAGGTATTAGGCAATAGGCTAACTATTCTTGAACAATGAACTCCATAGTACAGTACTTGTTTGTTTTGCCTGAATTTCAACCATTGGTTGAGAGGAATCTAATGGACTGAAAGAAATTAGTTCCTAATAGTCTTCTCTACTTCCAATTTCAGGAAAACCCATATATGTGCAATAACGAATGTGATGCAAGCACACCAGAGCTTGCACACCCTCCAGAGTTGATGCTTGATCATGAAGGACGAATTCCAAATACGTTTTGGCAAAGTGTTTCCTGGAAGAACTACCCAAGGCCTCTGTTGGTCAACATCACATTATCCTGGAACAAAACCATCGAGCTGACTGAAGATATCATCATCACTTTCGAATCTGAACGTCCAGAGCAAATGATCCTTGAAAAATCCCTGGATTACGGTCAAACATGGCAGCCATACCAGTTCTACGCGGCCGACTGTTTAAATGCTTTCCGAATGGAGCCCAAAACGGTGCACGATTTGACTCAGAAGTCAGTCCTGGACATAATTTGCACAGAGGAGTACTCTAGAGGCTACGTGTGGAAAATGGACAAAATGGTTCGCTTTGAAATCAAAGACAGATTTGCACTTTTCGGGGGACCCCATCTCCATAACATGGCTTCTCTTTACGGACAGTTGGACACGACCAAAAATCTGAGGGACTTTTTCACTGTCACAGACCTGAGGATCAGACTGCTTCGGCCTGCCACTGGTGCAACAATTGTGGATGAACGGAATCTATCAAAGTACTTCTATGCTATATCCAATATCGAAATACAAGGAAGGTAAGATCTTTTTGTTATTTCAATGTTAATCCATGGATTAGGTTAGAAGTCACTCATGTCATGATTTATGAACAATACACAGTGTATATGCAAGGGTTAAAATGCGGCACCTGATATTATCACCAGCAGTATCTTGTGCTACAGATTTTCCCATAATTATTCAATATATTAATTTGAAAATAAATGTTTCAAATCATTAAAAATTTTAATGAAGGCGAGACTCTTTTAATGTATTTTCTGAATAATGAATGTCTCAAGTAAAACAAAAACCTTTTTTGTTTTCTTTCTAACCTAGTCAACTAAATAAACAGCAAAGATTAAACATGGCACTAGACTGAAAAGATAGGAAATAGATCTGGTCAATGAGGCTATTGCTCTGTGCAAAATAAACACGTGTTACAGTGTAAAATGAAGATGACTTACCCGCTGACTCTTCTTGACACTGAATTAGGAAATGCTGTGCCCATACTCGATGTTAAATGTTTGCAGAATCACAACCTGCTATCACTGGCACAGTATTTCTCTTATTGATATTGTAAGACCTTCAGCATTTACCCTGCTTGTAAAATTCTATTTGAAGATTGCATCCAGTGGCAAATTAGTGCACGTTTCCTCTTCATCAATTGGGCCCCAAGCAGTACCAGTCAGATGAAGGATTTCTCTTCGATCTAATGCTGCTTGATTCATTTTCATTTGTTACACAGAAAAAATAAAGCTGCTTATTCTGCAACACCAAGATTTTGAAATCTGTGAACATGTGAATGTACAGCAGAATAAACTTGTATAGCCCCCATACCTCTTCAGTCTTATCAAGTTGTGTCCTTATCAGAGTCCTGTAGCGGATTGGTTAGAGCACTCGAGAAGACATGGGTTCAATTCTCAGGCAGGGCGAAACCTTCCACCATATGCCTCTGTTTACCCAGCAGTAAGTAGGAACCCGGTTATTATTTAATTGGCAATTCACTTTCCTGAGTCTGCTGCTCGCCTCACCCTCTCCGAACCATCATCTGTGGCCGAGCCATCAGATCTTCTGCCCCTAACCTCTGAAATTACCTCCATTCTCGACCCCTCTCTATTTATCTTTACATCCCGCCTCTAAACTTTTCCCCCTTTCCCCTACCCATGCTCCAGTTCTCGGTTATAGCTGGTTTAACTCAATGCGCACTCTGAGTTTTCCCCAAGCCTTAACTCTTGCAAACTTTGACCTAACTCTCTGGGATGAGGTAAGCAGGGTGCAACCCCAGGGTGAGAGAGTGCACGATCTATTCCAAACAAATGGAATCCAAACACACGTGGAACTTTCAATAGTTTGCTTGGAGAGTTCTAGGCATAACAATGAGTTTCCTTGAGTGTCAGGTAGCTTACCAAAACACTATATGTTGTAAATTCATTATTTAACAAACCATAATTTCCTTATGGAGAAATTCTGGCTTATAGATGTGTTACAGGTCTAATTCAGCAAGATTTTCTCGCATGATTAATCGTGTACTGCATTGTGCCAACTCCTTAATTAAAGTGAGCCCCTGTTAGTCTTTATCTCATGTTAATTTACAGTCACACTAATGCTAGAATAATATCTGTAATGGAAGGTACATTGAAGTACCAAGTAGCATTAGCTGTATTGCATTATGCTACTCATGTTAATTAACCATTGACAAGAAATATTCCTAATGGTTTAGATAGGACATTAATATATAGAGAGAGATTCTCAATCCTGAATAAAATAGGAGTTGCCAGGATCTGTCTGCTCTGTTATTAACATCACAGAGAGCATGAAACTGATCACCAGCAGCTGAGGCACATCAAAGTTGATGTGATTATTGGTCAAAGCACTTAAAAAGTCTTCTTCAGTGATGACTATTAAAGATTTTAGTCTTAAACCCGATTCTGTTGTTTCTCATTGTCCATGATATTTGAGAACACTGATAGCATATTTTTTTAAACACAGAACACACTCAACAAAACATTCTTGTAGCTAAATTGAACTAATATCTGGGGAAATGTTTGCATTGATCCATATACCAGGATAAACTCATCAGAAAAATCATACTGTATGATTCAGCAAGAGGATAAAACCCTAAAGTGGAGCTACTATGCAGATTGTTTTATCATTTCAAATCTCTGATAAGCTTCAAAATGTGGTCACTATACCTGGTGTTTAGACATTGGCTGAAAAAGTGCAGCAGTAAATACAAATAATAATGGATGGAAAATAAGCTGTGATATAATTATCACCAATTAAAATGATCATTATCACAACATATTGCACATTTTTTCACCTCAACAAATACCATCTAACATTTAGTTATTGAACCTATTTATTGTTAATTCTGGATTAACTGCTTCTTTATTAATCTAAAATTCAACCTGAGGCAATAAGGATTATCAATAGCATCATCAAATACAACCTCCTTATTAGTCTCAGGGTCTCAAACACTTGTTTAATTAATATGTATTTGTAACTTCTGTAAGGTTTGCTGCTTTTGCAGAAAGAAATAATGAGGCACTAATTAGTCAACAGGAACATTAAACTATACAGTTGCATTAATTTGACCTCTAAGGAAATGTCTCAATGAACATATGCTTAGTTTAGCAAAAATAAAAATGGAATTGTAGATTTGCCAAGTATGTAAACTGCCAAACAATTCAATGCTTTATCTTTCCTCCTCTAATTAAACAGGAAATGTGTGCAGTTGTACACAAATCATTGCAAATAGTATTTTAATAGTTAACCACAGTATACCATCTGAGCACTTTTGAATTGTAGAAAACTGTTTTTCTGAATTGCATTCAACAAAGCTTTTAAATATGATATTAAAGGAAGCCTTTTAATGTTAAAGGGTTGATTTCAAATATACCTTTTGGCCACTTTGTAGTTGCCACTACCTAATAATGATGACAGATCTCCTGTAATTGGTAAAAACTGTGAAACAGATTGACTATCTAATATCAGATTAAATTTAAGATTGGAGAGTAGGAGAAGGTGGTGGCAAACGGGCCTGTGTTAGGATTGAAGCAGCACCGCGGTCAAAAGTGAACGTACATACATCCAACCTGATCATTTGACAGGAGACAGCATATGCAGACTGCCGAAGAAATCCATGTGAAAGACGAACGTCACTTTACAAACTCCAGTCAATGAATTTTTCCCCCCAAGCAATCCTGCCTCATATCATTGAATGATATTCATTTGTTAGCTTTTGCATGTAAGAAACAGTAGCCCGGTTACTAAGTGTCGTGGGATCTGAAAATATAGCAGACAGTAAGCTCGATCGGAAGTGAAATCAGATGGTGAAGCGGCTTCCGAAGGGTTGTGGGAGATATCTCTACTTGAACCAGAATCTGATTTACTTGCATTTTCTGTGTTGATAAATGTTGAGCAGCTGAGTATGGAATGTGTGTGGAAATAGCATCGGGTTTTATGATGATTACTTGAAATTTCATTCACGAAGCTGACCGACCCACAAAAAAGAGATTTACAGTCTCAGCGCAGATAACTCCCAAGATTGAAAGGTCCAACAACCATGCAAAATAAATCCCATTCCATTTCCACATCTATTCCACATTCCGTAAGAATAGCAAACTTGACTATGCAGGGTATGACTAAAATAACTGATCCTTTAAATATGCACAACTGTAAGGTCTGTGTGAAATCTACAGTTTCTTCCCAATGTGGTCATGATTTTGCCAGTCAGGAGCAGGGATTATGACAAATGAGCAAAGCTTGACCTCAGTACAGTATTTCCATATAGTGACTGTCTCATTTAATTATTGGAGTTAGAATAATTTTGCCGCATTGAACATACCCATCTTATAAACTAATTAAAATTCAATGGAAGAAAGTTAAATAACTCTTCAAAAGCCAGTAAAGATGGGGGAAATAGCCCCTTCCCCTGGAAAATTTAATTCAGCACTCCCAGTCATTCTGGTTTTATAGAAAGTGATCAGTGTTAGTCCTTCAAAGTAACAAACCAACGACAATAACTTGCATTTATATAGCTCCCTTCATGGAGGGTAACATCTCAAAGCATTACCCCCTACTGCCTACCCCATATCCTTGCTGCAAACAATTTCAAAGATCTATAGTTAGTGACAGGAATAATAAAGATCTTATAACTGATGAACAATGATCTGAGTGATTCAATGAGGTTCTCCTTCTTGAGGAAAATAAAGTCTTACAGCTACTCAGTATTCACTGTGGAACAAACAGCCTCTTCCTGTGCCGTAAACCTTCTATGATTCTATGACCTGGACACACCACCATTTCTGCGTTTCCTGATGAGTTTTTTTTAAACTAGAAGAACAGCTGTGGCAATTCAATTTAAATTAAAATAAATAAATTAAGGTTTATTTTCTACAACCTTACTTGTAATGGAAATTATCACAAACACAGATGTTGTTTAATACTCCCATTATACCGAGTAAAATTGTCTCTTGCCTTAGTCTTTTCCAGATGGCCACTATCTTAAAACTCCCCTCAGCAGGTATGAAATATTAAATTCAATGAGCCATTTTGGCAATAGATACCATTACTCTGATGAATGAATCATAGAGCTATGTGACTAATTACGACTATGAGTCTGTGCAAAGACCAACAATTTTAATGTGCTGTCCAATTTGCTGAAGAAGATGACTGTAACTAAAATTGAAGGTGGAAACATAAGTGTTTTAAAAGATCTTGACAGGAGGGGGGGGGGGGAAATGATTGCATGTAAACCCTTGATTTTGTGACTGTCGAGGCAGCAAAGTAGTGATTTTCAAGCGGAAAAAAATTCTTATAGCTACAATACCTTAAAAGAGGAGTGATTCCTTCTTTTATACTGTAAGTAATAGGGTGGATTTCTAAGAATTACTGGGGAGAAAGATTGTTGTAGTCACGATGTTATTACACAGTGAGCACAGTTAATACATCCGTACTAAAGTCGGGTTTATCTGGTTTAATTTTTCATGACTCTAGTTATTTAATGTTGGGTAAAATAGGATCATGTTCTGAGGAAAAA